TCAAATTTTATTGATTTTTCAGTCATTTAAATAACTATATAATGTTGGGTATACATTTTCATACTTCCTTACCAAAACTCCCATTCCAATGTACTATGTCCTTTCTTCCCCTTTCTTTTCCTCCTCCCCTCAACCCCTCCATATATTTTTCATATAGTCAAACTCTAATATGAAAAGGTTTATGTACTCCTATGTTCATAGCAGCATTATGCACAATAGTCAAGTCATGGAACCGACCTAAGTATCCACCAACAGACAAGTAGATAAAGAAATTTTGGAACATATACACAACGGAATACTACCCAGTTATTTAGAAAGAAGAAATAGTATCTTTGGGGACAAAACAGATGGGTCTTAAGATGATATGCTAGGTGAAATAAGTCAGAAAATGAAAGGCAGTACGAGATGTTATCATGTACTTATGGACGCTAAATAACCAAAGAACTGAATACACACTGGCAAATCATTTAACCGCTGTGGTCCTGAGATCTTAAACCTCTGTGGCGGATGTGGGGAACCCAGTAGACTATGGTGGGAGGACCATGGGTGCCATGGTGGTAGTGTGGTAACACACATCTGAAGAGTGTGATCTCTGAATCATAGAAAATGTTGTAGGCCTATAAAAAATGGGGGGAAGGGTTCCCTAATGGCACAGGGGTTAAAGACAATACTATCATGAGCCACTGCATCACGAGTTTGATCCCTGGACAGGGAGCTAACCTACATGGCACAGCAGACCTCTCCTGTCTCTTCTGCTGCTCCCCTCAGTAGTGTATTTCAGTAGAGCCGCCTGCTCTGCTCCCCACTCTGTCTCTGGTGAATCCTCTCACCCCCAACACCCTTGGCCTATATCCCAGCTCTTATATGCATAAATAAATAAATATTAAAACAAAAAAGAGGACTCTCCCTGGTGCTGCAGTGGGTTGGAGCACTGCAATGCAAAGCTAAGCCAAGTCATGACCATTTCATTGAAAGTTCAATCCCCACCCTGGAGGTGACCCACATGGCACAGCAGACTTCTCCTGTCTTGTTTGCTGCTCCCCTCAGCAGTTTACTTCGTCGATCTGCCTGTTCTGCTCTCCACTCTATTTCTGGTGAATCCTCTCACTATCCCTGCACCTCTGGCCTATACCCCATTTCTGTATGCATAAATAAATAAAATATTAAAAAAAGAGAGAGATGGGCCCTCCTTGGTGGCGCAGCGGGTTAAAGCACAGCACTGAGAATCTAAAGCCACTTCCGCATGAGTTCGATCCCCGCCTGCCCGGGAGGTGACCACATGGCGTGGCAGACCTCTCCTGACCCGCCCGCTGCTCCCCTCAGCAGTGTACTTCGTTGACCTGCCTGTTCTGCTCTCCCCTCTGTCTCTGGTGAAGCCTCTCACCCTCCACATCTCTGGCCTGTACCCCAGCTCTATATGAATAAATAAATCTTTAAAAAAAAACAAAAAAAAAAATAAAAAAGAGAGAGAGAAATGATAATTACAACAGCCTGGCTACTTAATTTGGATGTGAGAGTTAAATGATATCCAATATATAAATCTAAAGTGCTTTTTTTTAAAAAAAAAAAAAGATTTATTTATTTGTACATACAGAATTGGGGTATAGGCCAGAGACTCAGGGGTGGCGAAAGACTTCACCAGAGATAGAGTAGGGAGCAGAACAGGCAGACTGACGAAGTACACTGCTGAGGGGAGCAGCGGGCAGGTCAGGAGAGGTCTGCCACGCCATGTGGTCACCTCCGGGGCAGGCGGGAATTGAACTCATGCGGAAGTGGTTTCAGCTTCTTAGTGCAGTGCTTTAACCCGCTGCGCCACCAGGGAGGGCCTGAAAGTGCTTTTTAAGCAAAGAGAGCTTGCCATCACTACCATGTATAATTACATTAATTACTATTGTAACTATTCAGGCTTTAATTTTTTAAGAGAAAGTAGAGGGGATTTTGTGATATTTTTATTATCACCATCTCAGATGAAAAATGTTGTTCCCATATTCCTGAGTGAATATGGAAATCACAGCATCATATAATGACTATGTTCTCAAGTTAGAATGCTGTGCCTGAAGTCCAGTTCACTACACTTGAAACACCACACATAGGCTTGGATCTCTTCCAGTATAAGATGCACAAGAAATCAGCAAGAACAAGATCAAGTTCTCAGTAATGTTTTGTGTAATAATATCTAATATGCTTTAGGATCATAAGATTATTATTATTCCTACATCCTCACATCAGTTCCACTAAGATGGGTAGCTGAAATAATGAAAGAGCCTTGTGAGAGACGAACAAGTCAGCTGGCACCTATCCCTGCAGGAGGAATACCTTCACGCTCTCCAGGTTGGTTGGACCCTCAGGATGTGGAGTGATTCCATTTTCCCCCAGTCACCCAGTCAGTTGCCCCTTTTATTTTTGTCAACAACACTTCTTTTTTGCTCCGCTCCCTCCAACTAGGAAGTGCATCACTGACAGACACAATATACCTTTTCATAAGGAAGGCAAATGAATATGTGCCAGATGGGCTGAGGGGATTACAACATGTTTCCTGCCCCCATAGTGACTCAATGAGGCTGGTATGAGAACTTATCTTATTCAAGAACTCAGCTTCCCCAGCAGAATTATGAGTCACTGTTCCTGGGTAGAAAGCTCACTTTCCAGCAACATTTGGGGTGGGGGTGGAAGAGCTCCTTGGATGGATTACAGTCAAAGTCATTCAAACAAGCAAAACTGCAGGGGCCACTGGGTTGGGGGTGGAGGGGGCCAGCACCCAGCAACTTCTGGGATTTCAAGACGTTTCTGCAAGATTAATATGGTCAACTCTCCTTTTCCTGCAGGTGGAGGAACTGATAGATTACTGGTATAAATCCAAACAAGTTCCATTTTAAGACTGGCCAGATTGTGCAAAACATATGTAGATATCTAACACAAACATATGTAGATATCTTTATGCATGTGTGTGTGTGTATACATACATGTGGATAGATAGATAAACTTACAAGAGAGAGAGTCACTGTACTGTGTATCTATGTGTCAATCATTCCTCCAAAACTTTGGGTAATACACAAAAAGTAAAAGTTCCTGTTGTTAGGCAACTTTGAAGCACAGAACTAGGGAGAAAGGCATGGTAAGAGAAAAAGAGAAAACAAAGTAGAAGACAGGGGACTACAGGAGCAAAAAGGGGAAGAAAGATGAAGGAGGAAAAGGTGGAGAGGGAAGGGAGAAGTGGGTAATGGGGAGAGAAGAAGGAAGAAGGAAAATAAACAAGGAGGAAGGGAAGAGGAGAACAAGGAAAAGAAAGGTAGGAAAGAGGAAGAGAAAGAGTTAATATAAAGTCAAGAAATGTGAACATTGAGAATAAAACTAAAACAGGATAAAGGAATAGAGATTGAGTGGCAGGTCTATTTTAGTTAAGATGGGTAAGGAAGGCCTCTGTAAGCAGATAATATTCAAGCATAGAACTAAATCAAATAAGAACAAATTATAGTCTGAGATGATGTTCAACATATTTAAAAGCCAGGACGGCATGGCATTGGCCAATTAAATCGAACATTCAAGCCGGGAAGAGGTAGGTCCTTCAAGAGAGTGAGGCTGCAGAACAGCTTCACCCCAGCTGAATCAGCCGAGGTGGTAATATATCCCTTCCCGGGGAAGCCCCAGGGTCCAACAAGGTTGAAAGTTATCTTGACTTTCCTCAGCTTTGTGTTGTACTCTGTCCTAGTTACACCCCTCCTTAGCACTATTTTTGGTTTCCAATAAAATACTTTAAATGGCATAGAAAAACTGAAACTCACCCAGGAAAGATAACCAGATTTGTTGCAGAACTCAGCTTCATGCCTTGCAAGAACAGTTGAAGGTATACACTAGAGAACTCTGTGCATAGTTACATGATTCTATTTTAGCATTTTTAAAGGCCTCTCACACAGAATAGGCACTCAAGCAAAGATGTTCAAAGTATGGGCCATGATCTTCAGGAGAATTATACATGGGAACCTTTTATAAATGAAGAGCCTTAAGTCCCCTAAATTAAAATTAATAAATCATAGAATTTGGCCTTTTCTGTTTAAATCAATCAATTGAACCAAATATGTATCATATTTAAATGACAGATAACTTTCAGTTACATGCACAGAACTTTCTAAGAATTAGTCCAAAGACATAATTGTATGATCACTAGTCAGAATTCTATAGAAAGATTCTGAGCAGTAATTTGGAAATAAGAAAAGACCTACAAAGATAGCCTTTCAAGGTCCTTGTAACTGTGACTTCATAAGATCCAGGTCCATGATGACTGAGTTTGAGTTTTCAGACTCATCAGTCTTTGTCTAGCTCCCCATCTTAGGCAACATCCTAGAAAAAATGACTCGGGTGGTCCTTTCTTTCCTCTAAATAACATTATTTGTTTTTATAAGGTTTCGATGAACTGTTATCACTTAGATCATCTCCACCATTGATTTTGAGAGTCCTATGACCATCTTGTTATTTCTTTTCCCATAGAATTTGAAGTGAATGGGGAACAGTAGAATTCTATGGTATGTGGATGTAAAAATGATGGATAATTCCTGTATTTTTATATGCTAGACCACTGGCCCTCGTGTATTATAACTCCACGGAGACTAGAGATGTCAGCAGCTCTTCCCATCCACAAACTGTCTCTCTTTTTTTAAAGATTTATTTATTTATTCTTACAGAACTGGGGTACAGGCCAGAGGTATGATGGGTGAGAGGATTCATAAGAGACAGAGTGGGGAACAGAACTGGCAGACTGACTGAAATACACTGCTGCAGGCGGATCAGGAGAGGTCTGCCATGCCATGTGAGTCAGCTCCCTGTCTGGGGATCGAACTTGTGCTGCAGTGGCTTTGGAGAGTTTCATAGTGTGTTGCTTTAACCTGTTGTACCACCAGGAAAAGACCAGTAAATAAACTCTCTTGACACTTTCATAGAAAGTTGACACATGTAACCTATGCCGGAGTTGCATATTAATAGATTGTCAAAAGCCGTTCACTTACCTGAGGCATCACTCTGCAGGATCACATAGAAGCAGAGGCTCACAACACACCAGAGAAGTCCCATCCTGTCAATATAAGTACAGATGTAAGGGAAAGTATTTATTACTCTCAAGCACTTAAATAATACTTAGTGCAAAAACATGCTGACTACTGGCGAGTAACTGCTCTAAGAATTTTATAATATTGACAAGATTAATTGTCAGAACCAACCAATAAGAAAGATTTTGTATTGAAAGTCTCTTATTACAGGCAGAGAAACTGAATAAGTTTAAATAAGTAACATAACCAAAATGCTTTGGTTAGAAAATAGCACGAAATAACCAAACTCCAGTAATACCTGGTTTTAGACCACCTCTTAATCAATAAACTATGACAACCTACTAAAAATCATATATGGTTTTTTTTTTTTTTCACAACGAGTCAGATTTCTGGCAGGTAAGTTTGACCTTCTCAACTTCCTTTAATTTGCTTGCTATATTCTCATCCAAAAATATTTTATGGTCCAAGCACTTTCTCCTTCTTAATAATGCATAGGAAGTCTAGAAGTCCTGAATTCAGACTTGGTCTTCAGGGCACCATACGCTGAATTAACAGCTAAGGAAATACATAAACCTCATGACCTAGTGTTCACTCCCCTCCTCTTACTAGAAGCACAAACGATCAAGCTGGAGTCAGATTTCTGTGATCTTTAAGTTTTCCTGTGGATAACCAACTGAAAATGCCACCAGCAAGAGTCATGGCCTTACACTTGGCTGTGTGAACTTTGATAGAGAGGACTGGAGATTTACCAAACTCTATGAAATGTTTCTTTTCCTACAAACCTATTCTTAATTGGATCTGATAAAATATCTGCAAGGTACTAAAAACTGAAACCTGAATATTGCTGAGATAGTGTATATGCAAGGCTTTTCTTTTTTGGATACAAGAAATGGATATGGGTGCTTACTGAGGTCTTAATCATTTATTCAGATCCTACCTTTGGTAACTGAAATGAGATTTATACCCATATCTGGCTCATGCACAAGCCCATTGTCCAACATTTGCACCACATGTTTCAGTCAAAGGGATCTAACCAGACTAAAAGGAGCAATTGGGCATTTGGTAAATGGGGTGACCTTATGACAGCATTTTAAAAGGTGGTACTTTTAAAACTACTAACTGAAACAAAAGTATAATCTGCATGCTCTATACTGGTACTGCTATGCAATACAGAGTGTGCAACCACTTTAAAGGAAATACGAATTTCCAGTGACTGTCACTCTCTTGACCACATAACATCAACGCTTCTAGTTCATATTATACTTCCTCCTTAACGACTGTACACAAATCACAGGTCAGTTCACTATATATTAAACAACCACTTGATCTGAGATTAAATGTCTTGGCCTTTCTAACACCATTCCCTTCCATTTCATATACTGTTGCCTTAAGGAAACTCTTCTCTCCATCAGTTATTCATTCATCCAGTAAGGCATGTGTTGAGTGCTTTCTGTTTACAAGTCACTATGATATAACTGCACAGGGCTCTGATGAGCAAGATGGGGTTTTCCTTTAAAGGCTGCCTTTTTCCCTAGTAAAGGAAATAAACCAAATACAACTTCAACATCACCAACTATGAATAATATACATGCAGAAACACCAGGATATGAAAAGATTTATCAGACACAAAAACTCTAGCACTAGGTAGAATCTAGAAGAGATTTGAAGTGTGTACCAATAAAAAAAGACTGCAATAGAAAGTAAACAGTGATAAAAAAAAATAGTCAGAAAGGAACAGGTAAGTGTTATTGAAGTTTCACAAAAAAGAGAGATTACGCCAGCCAAGGCAATCAAAGAAGCATCAGCACACGTAGTTTTTTTTTTTTTTTCCATTTATTTTCTTTAAGAGGTAGCTTTTAAACTGAGCAATAACTAGCTTGGAAATTATGAATTTAGGTAGGAGGAAAGCATAAGGAAAAGAAACATGGTGGAGAAAGATGCTAAAATACCAAAAGCATAAACTATAAATAGGAAAGAGATTATAAATGTCTGCAATCGGCTGAAATACAGCATATAAAGAAAAGAAATAGGTTTTGTTAGAAAGCAAGGAGTGTTATGATCAGAATAGGCCTAACAGACTGAGGGCTTGGAATTAAGTAAAAACAACAAATAAGGAATCACTGAAGGCTTTCGATTAGAGGAGTGATATGATCATCAAGCCATGACTTATGAAGATCATTCTTCCAGGCTTGTGCTGAATGGATTGCCACTAAATCTTGTCTTGAAATCATTTAACTCCTGAATCTGCCATCATAATAATTGCTATCCCCCTAGCTCTCCTATCATCTATAAACATGATCAGCATGCCACTATATAAGTCATTAATAAAAGTAATTAATAATTCAACATTAATCCTTGTGAACAGAGAGCACGTAGATATTTATTATAGATTCAGGGCGTAGCAATTTCAAGCCCATGCTAAAGCACTCTAGACTCCTAAGTTGTTTTTGACTATTAAAAAAAATAACTTATACCACTAGATTTTTCCCAATTTGCCTGCATGTAAGCTGCTGAATTCTTGAGGCAACACTTAGAGTACTTTCTAATTAGTGTGATTGAGGGCCTTAATTGATATTCCCATGAGTAACTGGATTATGTCAGGGGCAACAAGGAGTCAGAGCACCAAGGTAAAGCTAATCTAAAGATAACCTACATGTGAACACAAATCCAGGGTCAGCCCTGCCTGGTGATGAATTAGAAAGAAAATATGACTGTTCAGACTGGTTTTGACAGACTAAAGGAACCCAGGTGAGCGGGAGGCGGTTGGCTGGTCTGAAACGTTGCAGAGAAGACTGATTCATTTAACATCATCCTTCATTCTGTCTCAAAATATTATTATTGCCACTTGAACTACCCTTTTAGTGCTTGTTTCATGGGGGGAGGGGACACTGATCTTTTCAGAGATGCATAAAATATCAGAAAGCAAAGGAAGCTGCCTAATAATGCTTGATTTCTCATGGTTTGATTTATAACCAAGCTTTAGATTATTTTGATGAGGTTTAATAGACTCTGCCCTTGAAGCAGATGATTGGAACATACATATAATAAATTCTGAGTCTGCTTTTGCTGCATTATTTGTTTTATTTACTGTATGACCATGCTCATACTTCCCCTCCTATGTGTTGCCACATCTCTCATACTTTATGCCATTGATTCCCAATATATCAGCTAGGATGGCTAGATCATCCAGCATGTACTTCCAAATACATACTTAGTTTAGTGTTATCAACAATTGAGACTGATGTTGACTAACATATACTTAGCAAGATGATAGCTACCTCTTAACATAGTCATCTTTGTATTGTCTGCATTCTTTACGCTCACTAAGCTTCAGGATCTTCTCATCTCTGAGTCAGCCCTTGACCAAAGGATTCTTTCACTGGGCCAGCAGTCACAAGATGCTCAAGGGTGGTGTTAAATCTGAATCACCATTTTTTTCAGATTTCCTTGCGTACAGCAGCAGTTCACGAGGCCACAGAACTACATTTCTCTATTAGTTTCTGGATTCCATATACATATTCATACTCAGGTCAAAGCCAATCTGTGAATCCCACCAATCTAGATGGGATCTGGACTTCCAAAACAGTGTTTGACAGATTTCATTTCTAGGAATCCACATTTTGCCATAAGGTTTTGCACTATGCATCTTCTACAACCACAAAACTTAGATCATCTGCTTTAATATAGTTGAAGCTGCTATTTGCTATAATCTGCCACCTCAAACATAATGCCTACCCAAAATTTGGCCATTAAGGCATATGGCATAGATAGCCTTTCTGATGTGGGATTAGCACAGCAGCCAAATTTCTTCTATGAGTCCTGATCCCATCCAGATCCTTCCTTTACTCTTCTCTAATTTACTGATAAAGTTTGAGCAAGTTTTGGATCAATGCCCACCCAACATATGACAAAAGAGCTTTGTGTAGGACACAAGTCACTATCCCATTTCACAGGAAAATTCATACTAATTATTAAGAAACCAATTATTTTCATATCATTTTATCTCACTTAGTTTCGTGAATTATAAAAAGCTTTGTACAGAGCTCTTCTGAATCCAGTATTTATTTGAAAACAAAAATTCATGCAAAATGACAAAGGTTCTTTTTCTAAGTAAAGTGAAGGAATTGTTTTGCTATGCTATCTTTTTCAGGGAATACAATTGTAAACTTGTATATAATAAAAGGGTTTGAAGACTCTAAAAATTATGTAACAACATATTCCTTTCAAGTACACATGGAATATCTACCAAGATAGTCTGTATTATGTACCATAAAGCAAACCTTACCAAATTTAAAAGGACACAAAGTATATTTTCTATTCACAGAATAAAAACATGCATATTACAATAAAGAAAGATATAAACCAATATAGATGCAAAAATTCTCAACAAAAATTGGCAAAATGATAACTCCACTTGTCTATTTTTATTGTAATAATTTTGGCAAGTGGGGTCTTTTGTAATTTCACATAAACTCTATAATCTCTTATAAAAAGGTCATACACAGTAATCAAGTAGGATTTCTACTGTAAATGCAAGGATGTTTTGACCTATACAAATCAATTAACTTGATATACCATATCAAAATGAAAGATTTAAAAACTTACAACCATTTTAACAGTATGGAAAAATCATTTGATAAAATTGAACGCTTATTTACAATGAAAATTCTCAGCAAAATGAACATAGAAGGAAAACATTAGGACATAATAAAGGTCATATTTGACAAATACACAGCAAGTATCATTCACAAAATAGAGTAAAGAAGGTGTTCAATCAATGGTGCTGAGAACAGTGTTGCATCAGGCATCACCACACTGACAAAGAAACAGGAGTCGTGGACCCAGCTACATAATGCAGGATGCTGCCGAAGAGCAAGATTTTGGCCTTTTTATTGATAAACCATTATCAGTTAATCATGTGAGGAAGCAAAAAATGAAAGGGAAAATTAGAAAAAGCTGGGGGAAAGGTGGAACTGTGCATCTGCTGATAGTATGATATGCGGAACAGCCCGGACTCTCCAGTCAG